ATATATATATATATTCATCAGTAATTTTTATTTTGGATGACAATCATAATATTGTGGTGTAGTTGATGATTCTCCTCTGACTTACGAATGATATCACAACAATTCATTCGCCAATAAAATTCGTTAAAATATATATTGTAAATAGATACTCATACATTAATAGATATTAGTATTTTTTATACACATGTGTGTTAATGGGTTGCATGGGTATTATAGTACTTTTCAATATTTAATTACATTATTATATATAATTTATTTAAATTTATGAGAATGAGATACTTTAATAATTATAAATTTAGTTTTTAAATTCACAACTCTTGATTAATAAAATTGTTTATAATATTTGAATAATTTAAATTTTAAAATTTAAATTATATACTATTTTAAATAAATGATCAAAATTAATAAAAAAATTATTATTAAAATATTTTTTAATTTTTATTTTTAAATAAATATCTATAAATATCTGTAAATATTAAAAAAAATATGAATATCTGAGTAACGGATACTCATATAGATAAGAGAATGGATAAGATAAATATTTATCTAGTAAGATAAGTAGCAAATATATTATCCGTACTTATTCTATTCCATCTTGTTGACATAGATATGAATTTTTTTTCCTCTAATCTTTTATTTGTAATAAGAATGGCAACATTGCAAGTAACCATTTATGTGAAAAAAAATTGCGGTATGATGTTGTATTTTTTTTAGTGGAAGATTAAATCTCAAGGATATTATAATCTTAATCAACCCTAAATATTTTAGTGAAATCTTGTTATGATAAGTTAATTTTAAAATTTTAAATTAAATACATGAAAGTTACAGTAATTTTAAATTTAATTTATGTGAAAGAAAATATCAAGTACAGTTATCAAGATTGAAATTTTAAATTAAATTAAATATAAAATTATATGAATCAAAAAAATAGTATTGAAAAAATATAAATAAAAATTAGTTCTTATATTTAAAACACAAACGACTATCTTGTAAGAAAGCATTTTCAGAGACTTTTTTTATCAAGAAAGGATTTTTAAAGGTTCTTTCAAACCTCATATTTAATTTATTGTTATTTATCATAATTATTATGAATTAGAGATTAATATTTTAAAATAAATGATAAAAATTTAAATAATTTTGTACTACAATATAAATTATTTATCATAAATTTAAATATAATTTATATTCAAACATAGTATTTATATATATATATATATATATATATATGATGATTTTAAATAGATATTTTTTCTAAAAATAGATTAAATTATATGTTTGAATGAAAAGTTAAGGATTAGAATTAATTCACAGAATAAGTATTTAATATAATTTACTTATTTATTTATATTTATATGATTCAAACTTTTAATACAAATAATAATAAAAGATAGTTAACATTTTAAATAAGATACACAAATATCTTGGTAGAAAATAAAAACAAATATAGATTAAAATAAAAAAAAAAGTCTAAAAGATAATAAATATATTTTGATTATTATTAAATTTTAATTTAATGATGTAAAGGTATATTTTTTCTTGATAGCTTAAATAATTTATTTAAATAATGGAAAAGTTGATAGATATTATTGATATAAGATATAAATACAGTTTAAAAAATCTTGTCTCCATCATTCAATATCTATCTATATCTATTTCCTTTTTTATATGGACTTATTCGTGTTTTCTTTTTCTTCCAGTAACAAAATAAATACACTATAGACCATTGATTCAGTTGTTCATATTGAAAACTTCTGTTCTTTTTTCGTTCATTATTCTTCAACATGGTTGATGTCTCAGGAAGAATAAGTTCTCACTTTCTAATGAGAACGAAAGAACAATTGAAGATGAAACACAAAGATATCTTAAGATTTGATGTCACTGTTACTATTCGACATTATGCACATTATGTAGCGCCACGTTTTATGAGAGGATCAACCTCATCCCAAACCTCAATACCCATAACCTGCGAAAGATTCTTAGAAAACAATCATGGTTTTCTACTAAGTGTTATATGTTCCTTGCCTGGTTACGTCCCAGAAAGTTTGATCCAATTAGAACGAAGGATTGTTTTTGAGGTTCAACGAGACTTGGAAGTTGAGAGCAACAGTTGTACGGATTCAAAGTGTCGAGAATTTTCATTGGCTTTGGACATTTTCATAGACGTTGTGCAATATGAAGAGAGAGATGATGAAGAAGATGCAATGATAGAAATAGAAGAGTCCATGCAGCAAGGTGTGGTTATGGTTCCTGCCTCCGATGAAGCCATTCAGTCCTTGAAAGCATTCACAGACTCATCGTTCCTGAAAATCGAAAAGTGCAATATTTGCATGGATAAGTTTGAAGTTGATGAGGGTGATGATCAAGATGATGTGTTATCAATGCCATGCAACCATGTGTTTCATCGAGAGTGTATTGTCAAATGGTTGCAAACTAGTCACACGTGTCCTTTGTGTCGCTATCCTATGCCCACTGCATATGATTGAGTGCATTGTCTTCCTTTTACACCCGTTGATACAAATGTTAAATTTGTTTCATCTGTCATGTTATGTCTGTAATTTTTATTTTGATGGCTATTATCATATTGTATTCTGTTGGTCGTTATTGTCTTCTGATTTAGTATTTGTTTCCTCTAAATTTTTCTTTCATTAATTGGGTTCTTTTAATTTAAATGGGAGGAATGAGTGTGTCACTGTGATGTTTGTCTATGTGATTATGGTTCTATCAAAACTTTTAAAAGGATTTGAAATTCTTTCTGTCTGCGCCAGCTTAGTATTTGGGATGAGATGCAACTTTTAACATTGAATAAAAGATACAAGATAATTTACGCACAACATAAAATATACAGATGAAAATAGAGTAGTATTAATTTAGAGTACTCATTAGTTTGCTTAATTTCAATGTTATTTTTATTGTTTATGATGAATTACTAATTATATTACTTGATTTTGTAAATTATACAGCTATAAATTTACTTGAGTGTTTCTTATTGTATACATATCATACAAAAACAAAATGAATATTAAATAAAAATTGATATTCTAAGTTGATCATTTTGATTTTTTAACCGACTTAAAATGTATTATTTGATAACATTGCACTAAATAACACAAGTTCTCAACAAAAGTTAAACCCAATCACCTTAATCAAGATGTTCAAGGTTTGAATTGTAATCTTAGATATAAAATAGACTATGTTCAAAGAGGAATACCCACATTATGCATCCATGATCTTTGATGAAAATTAGTTTCAAAAATGGATACTTTGTATTAATATTATAAAAAAAAATGTTAAATTCAATGATACGTATTATTTGACTTGCCTTTTTAAGTAACTACTCAAGTATTCTTTTAACAACAAGTCTCTCTAGGCTTAACAACTAAGTATTCTTTTACAGTCAAGCCTCTCCAGGCTCAAGAACAAATATTCTTTTCAAATAAGTCTCTCCAAACTCAACCTTATAACAATGGTTATGAAGGTTATATAGAAGTTGTGTTTGTCTCACTAAGACGTTATACAACTAACTACAGAGCAATGAATGTTTACAAGAAAGAATAGATTTACAAAGAGTGAGTTTTTATACAAATGTATCTATGTAAAGTTAGCATCTCTATCTTTCTTCTGCTTTGAAACATCTTATATACTAGCTTAGAGAAGATGACCGTTGCAATACTTTGAGCCTAACTCATAAGTTTGCTTCATTTGTATTCATCGTTTTCCCTTGTGGTAGTAGGTGACCGTTCGACTCATTTAAATGTATTTCACCAAATGGTACCTCTTATCAAATCAAGGGGACTACTTATCAACTTTTCATATCAAAGGAAGTTTACAAAAGCAATGTTAATGCAGAGTAGCTATAGTAGTGACTTTATCTATTTTTCTTTGTGATTTCAAAGATTTAGTTTTGATGGGAAAGCATGGTTCTTCTCTTTAATAAATTTGTGAGTTCCAAGATGGTCTTTTGATTCGATTTGTTGAGGAATAAAACATTCAAATCAAACTTTGTCATTAATCTTAATAAATGATAAATATACAAATTATATGCTTCGTCTGATTAACCATGTCTTACAGATAAGCTGCGTCTTACACTTTATCTGATAAGTCTTTCAAAGACATTTTCATAAACATTTCTTCTATATAAAAATACTTTGTTTGTTAGCATTAAAACTTTAAGTTTAGGGGATTGTCTTTTGACTTAACAAAAGCTAGGTATGAATTATCGATAGGTAAACTGGTGAACATTATAAGTGAATACCTCTTGTGTTAGGTAGGATGAACCGATTAATTTGAAAAAATGTTTTTAGAAGTATAAGTTGAAAGTTTTAGTGGGTGCAAAGACCTTAGAATACCTTATGATCAAAAATCATTAAGCATGACTCAAGCAAATGATTGAGTTCCTATTGTTAGCTTTAGATTAGAGTTAAATCAAGGTAGGAGAATGACATTGAGGTGGTTGATGTGTTAGGGATGATTTAGGGTTTTTATGTAATTAATTTAGAGTACTTATCATTTTGTTTGTGTACCACCCCCCATCTCAGCAGTAGATGTGCCTACCAAAGGAGATTCACTGATCTTAACAAGCAGATTGTCCCTCATGACCGATCTTAGGTAAAAACAGTTTAATTTCAATGTTATTTTTATTATTTATAATGAATTATTAATTATAATGCTCGATTTTATAAATTATACAACTGTAAATCTACTTGAGAGTTTTTGATTGTATACATATCACACAAAAACAAAATAAATATTAAAGAAAAATTGATTCTAAGTTGATTTTGACTTTTTAACCGACTTATAATGTATTATTTGATAATATTACATCAAATAACACACTTTCTTAATGATAATTAAATCCAATCACCTTAATCAAGATGTTCGAAGTTTGAATTGTAATCTTAAATATAAAATAAATTATGTTCGAAGAAAAATACACGCATTATGCATCTAAGATCTTTGATAAAAATTATTTTTGTAAATGAATATTTTGTACTAATATTATAAAAATAAATAAATTAAATCCAATCATAAACTCAAATAAATAAAATACATGAATAGTTAAAAATAATTATAATTATAAATTAGAACTTAAAATCAGAAGATTAAAATGAACTATTTGAAAACATAAAATGTTAATTTAATAAAGTAAAATCAAAAGAGAGAGAAAAAAACACGAAAAAAGATGCAAATTCAACATTTTAATTATTATTTTTCTTTCGTCCTTAGGAGTAGAAAGAAATCAAATCATCCACTGGAGAAAAAATTATAAAAAAAAATAAATAAAATCCAAATCCAACATTAGCAAATTTTCACCCTAAAGGGAGCAGAAACTGCGAGTGTGTGACGACTGAGCCAATTCGAACAGCCCCTCCCTAGTGGAGCAGTAATCGGCGAGAGAGAGGCTTCAATTAAAATTGAATCGGTGAAAGAATCGTATAGAGAGAGAGAGAGAGAGAGAGAAGAGAGAACGTACTCCATTGTGCAAAATGTCGTCGGCGACGAACATAGTGGTTGTGGACAACGGCGGCGGCCTGATAAAAGCGGGACTGGGCGGCGAGCGCGACCCGTCCGCCGTCCTGCCGAACTGCCTGTACCGCCCTCCCTCCTCGAAGAAGTGGGTCCACCTGGACCCGTCGGCTGAGCCCGACCTGACTTCGGCAGCGGCCCGTCGGCCCATGGACCGCGGGTACCTGATAAACCCAGAGCTGGAGCGCGAAATCTGGGCCCACCTGTTCTCCTCCGTCCTCCGCATATCCCCCTCCCAGTCGTCCCTCCTCCTGACGGAGCCCCTCTTCACGCTCCCCTCCATCCAGCGCTCCCTCGACGAGCTCGTCTTCGAGGACTTCAACTTCCGGTCCCTCTACGTGGCCCACCCCCCCTCCCTCGTCCACCTCTACGAGGCCACGCGCCGCCCCTCCTCCCGCGCCCACTGCAGCCTCGTCCTGGACTCCGGCTTCTCCTTCACCCACGCCTCCCCCGTCCTCCACAACTTCACCCTCAACTACGCCGTCAGGCGCATCGACCTCGGCGGCAAGGCCCTCACCAACCACCTCAAGGACCTCGTCTCCTTCCGCTCCGTCAACGTCATGGAGGAGACCTTCATCATCGACCACGTCAAGGAGTCCCTCTGCTTCGTCTCCCTCGACGTCCCCCGCGACCTCTCCCTCGCCCGGACCGCCTCCAAGGACAACCTCTTCCGCGCCACCTACGTCCTTCCCGACGGCGTCACGCACACCAAGGGCTTCGTTAAGCACCCGCATCAGGCTCGCCGCTTTCTTGCTTTGAGCAACCCTTCGCTTGTGGCTGATCGGGAGATTCACGACCACCACCTCCAACAAACCGACAACAACGTTGATCTCACAAAAAATGTACTTGCCGGTCGACGAAGAGAGCAGAGCAGAGGTCGGTGAATATGGTGGTGCTTAAGCCGACATAGCCTTTGAGAATGCCAGAAACGGGGCCTTTGTTGCGACAGAAGTTGTGGATGCAGGTGACTAGAACTGCCGTGTTCATCCAAGTTGTGCCATTGCCATTTTTTTTTGTTCTTTTGTTTTCTTCCATTCGTTTGTGTGATCCTTTTTAGGAGTTTGACTTAACGAATGAACGGTTTCTTGTGCCGGAGATGCTCTTCCGTCCTGCTGATTTGGGTCTGTCGTTACACTCTGATTTTGGTTAGTTCTATCTTTTTCAGGAATTTCTTATGTGACTGTAATTGTTTACAGGAATGAACCAGGCTGGGATAGCGGAATGCATTGTGCGTGCTGTTAATGCGTGCCATCCGCATCTTCACCCTGTGCTCTACGAAAGGTGACTAGCTTCAGAGCGCTACATTTGATGCTCCTGTTGTGTGTGGATATATGTGTGTTTTTTTTTTAATTTGACGCACCCGTTTGTGTATTTTTTTTTGCAGTATCATATTAACGGGTGGAAACACCTTGTTTCCTCAGTTTGCTGAGAGATTGTAAGTTTTCTGTGTGGGCCATTGCACCTTGTTCATGATGTCATTGCCTGTGTATCGTAGTCTGAATGTTTAATTAATGGATTCTTCATGCTGTAGAGAGAAAGAGCTTCGGCCTTTGGTTCCTGATGACTATAATGTGAAGATAACTGCTCAAGAAGAGTAAACAAACATCTTTCGTCTGTAGTTTGTTTCATCTATGTTGATATTTTCTGAAAAAGGACTTATGGTTCTTCTGCAGTCCCATACTAGGTGTTTGGCGAGGAGGGTCACTTTTGGCATCGAGTCCAGATTTTGAAGCAATGTGTGTTACCAAGTCTGAGTATGAGGAGCTTGGTTCTGCTAGATGTCGCAAGAGATTCTTTCATTAACTATGCATGCTGTCAACATGGCTACTCCAATGTTGTATGTAAGCCTAATGTGTAATGGGTATGCCTAGATGCCATTTTCTTTATCTCATGCATTTCCTATTTCCTACAGCTTCCTCACAAGCAATGTCACACGGCGGAGAAGGCAGTGGAGTGCCAATTCGGAGAATATTGATTGAACCCGCTGTACATTATTGATTGGTTCAGCCATTTTTCAGTCCTTGTCTTTCCAACAGATTCTTACTTGGAACCAAGGTGTGAATTTTGGATCATCATCTTCTGTGCAATGAGTTTATTTGAGAAATCATATATGTTGTCTACAGGTTTCGGGAGAACATGATACTAGGTCAAAGTCCATAGGAAGGTGGCTTCACTTTTCATCTGCAACAAGAGCGGCATGCTTTTGAGGTGCGATCTAATGTGATATCAGAAGGATTTAGATATTTATAAAAAAAAATCCATTGTCTGGAGTCTGAAGTTAGCCTTAACTATTTCATTACTGCCTGCTATTAAATGTATGTAATTCTGTGAAATTTTGTGGTTCGTGCTGCTATTTGACCTTAAGTAGAATTCTCTCTTTTTATCCTTCCAATTCGAGCTGGTTTGATTATGGGTTTGATCAAACTTGGATTTTCAATCTGTTGGTCCAAGTCCTTGCTTAAGCCATTCAAAGTTAATGGTTTTCTGGGATACGCTGTCTGGCCATTTCATAGAAATGATACTCGACTTTGGTTGAGACAAGCTTTTGACCTCACACTTCTGTATATATTCAGCTGTGAATGGTACGTTTTCTCGTTATGTTTCACAGCTGATCCCTTCTGAGGTGTGGATCAATAAATTCAGGGACATGGATAAAAACTGTTGGTAAAACTCTTTCAAACTTCCGGTAGCAGAAACTGAATATTTTCTCTCATGTGACTGCATTTTTATGTTGTTATGGTGTTGATTAGCCGCAAGTGTATGGGTCACACGAGATTGATGATTGGTTTCACTCTTGTGATGGCTTAACTAACTACTAAGCGCTATCAAATTGCCTGATAAATTTTGTCCAAGCAACCAAAAAGAACATGTTTGAAATTACAAAATTAAAATTATGCGAGAATTTTCAATTTGATCCTCTTTAAAAATTGAATTAACAATAACATCAGATTAGTCTTAAATTTGTCACCAAATTATTCTAGAAAACTTAAAACATTACTTTGGGCTTCTCAACATTTCAACATCGAATTCTCCCTTAGATATTTGTTATTGTATTTTGGGTTTAATAATTATGTACTATCGATTTAAAAAAGTTTTACATTGTTAATAAAGAAAATAATTATTTGTATATTTTAAAGATAATTATTGTAGAAATTAATAAATTTATCATATTAAAATGGATTGTAAAAGTCAACAAGATTGAGTTAGTTTATATCTTAAAATTTATTATTTTATTATTTAAAAATTAGTATATAAAACAATTTAAAGTATAAAAAAGTAATATATATATATATATATATATATATATGTGTGTGTGTGTGTGTGTGTGTGTGTGTGAGA